CTTTTGCAATTTCCATCCAGTAATTTCCCACTGTTTTCAGTATTTCGTCGAGCCACCTCTTCCTTTGTTCTACTTCTTTTTCTCTTCCCTGAAACAATTTTACAATTCTATCATTCCTTGATTGCCAGTTTCTGTTGTTCATTTTAACTGTAATGTATTTAAAAGCCACGGTGGATCAGTGCCCGGCGCCTGCATTTGATTCAGTATCCTAGAGAAAGCCCAGTTCAATTCCTGGTACCAATGGAATTGTGAATTGCGTTTACAATATAGATTCCAAACAGTTCCGTGGTGAAATTCAAAAAATTAAATTATTACTGAGATGTATATTTTTTGAGAGTCCGCTTTGGCACACATGGCAAACTACGCGTCACCGGCATTTAACCCTCTAAAAGACCCAGAACTTGACCTAATATGTGTAAGACTGTAATATGAAATGTTAAGAATAACACCATCATTCATGGCATAAACGATTGGTATCTAATGACGCGGCTTTATAATTTTCTAGAATCTATGTGCGTTAGATATAACACAAAACTGTTGAATTAAGTTGGTGACAAGTGAATTTGCCTTTACGTTGTATGTCGTTGACCTCTGACATTGTCACGCGATGATGTGCGATGAACTTCTATGATGCCTTTACTTCGATGCTCAAGACTAGTTTAACTGACTAAATGTGAGTATTGTTAATAGTTAGTCTATTTCAGATGTTGTTATTTCATTTCCAGCAAACAGTATAGTTTTATCTATATATTTCAGTTATAAAAAAAATGTGACAATACATATTTTCTGGTTTTCTTATATTATCTGCTTTAGACAAGTAGAGCTTAATCGGTCATCAAGTCAGCTTAATCAGATTTAAAAAAGTCATTTAATAATCAGATCAAGTGGTGAATAATTACAAGTTGAAAGTAAAGTAACAGATTATATACCAATATCCAAGTAAGCATTACAGTTTTGTCATTATTAGGGTTCCGTACCCGAAGGGTAAAACGGGACCCTATTAATAAGACTCCGGTGTCTGTCTGAACCGTGATAGTTTACAGTGGCAATTTTCATAGATAACACATCACTTTTTTATTCCTCTGCACAGAGGGTATATGGGCAAAGTCTACCACGCGGCCCCACTGCGGTTCGGCGGACTTCACATATCTTCGGAATATTTACTTTTGGTTATTATTTACAGAATATGCAGGTTTCCTAAAGATGTTTTCCTACGCCGCTGAGCACATTCTAAGCAGGCACTTGAAATTAACAATTTCATTGTTGCCGGCACCGGGGATCGAACTCAACTTGCTCGAGTGAATTGAATTAAAGACGAGCGCCCGGACACTGAGCTATCACGGTTGCCAGTGTGATTCAAAACATTACTGCAATTGCTCTTGGCCTCATGTTTCGTGTCGTCATATGCACATAAATTTACGGACTGTGTCACTTATGATAATTCGTCGCATTGTATTCGAATGAGGCGGCTTCCGAATCGATCGGGCCACTAAAGATGTTTGGTGCATTGTCTGTGTGTCAATCTCTCTGTATACGTTTCGACGATTACATGTCAATCCTTGTGGCCTACCGTGGCGTCTGCTTTCGCAATCTGTCCTGTTATTGTTTGTGATATACACACTATTGGTGTTTCAATTTTATTTTGTTTACAATTGTGAAAAATATTCATGTGCAAGACTTAAGGATTTAATCGTCTTTTCACCGTTATAACAATATGTGCGCTTAAGTGGTTGTAAAAAGGCAGTTGTATAAAACGCAGGGGCTCAATTACGATAACAGCGTATAAAAATATGTATTCAATCTTAAAGATCTTTCAAATATAGTAAATCATTAGTTAACACACGGACTTTGGTATTGATTCATTAAATTGGTTGACAAATACCGACTACACAAGTTTGTCAAGCAATGGTTAATGAGTGAACAATCACAATTGAGATTGACGATGTTTGGAAAATGAAAACCCCATCGGTATTCGGAGCAGGTTAAACAGAAACCTCGTGTTACGCAGTTAAAGTTAACCCACCGTTTACTTAGCTCACCGGAACCTTGGCACAGTTATATGTCGATCATAACGTGTGAGGGAAATAAATCACCTTTCGTTTTAAGTAATGCCACTCGAGATACGAGGAGATTGCTTTGACGGAACTCGGATAATGGACACTGATGCAACTCACTTAACTGTAATTGCTTTCGAATTTTTTTTTAATAACGCTTTACACTAGTATTGCGTAATCCCGGCATCATTTACTTTCTAGGGTAATGTCATTGAGGAGCATCTGATTGAGCACCAGGTTCGCCGTTTTCGACGTTTAATACAACCACACAGAAGTCCAGCGTTTATAAGAAGCGCAACACCTTTTATGTTTGGTCTGGTAACTTTGGTAAAAGCGAAAGTTCCTATAGGGGGATGAATATGGATGTTTCATCATGCTAAAAAGCTATGGAGCTTTTTAGACATGACATTACATTTGGTTCCTGTAGCATTTTTATTATGGTAGGGCCACGTGGCAGCAAAGTTGTTGCATAAATGGGCAGCCTCATCCACGGAAATATCAAGATCTTTTGAATTGATTTGTGGTGAGAAGTGCATGGATGTATTATACTTTAGCTTTTCGTGTGGTGATTGAGGTTACTAGTACTCAGTTTTTTAATGTTCGCAACGCATTTGCAAGTCAGATAGATGTATTTACAAATTTTAATGTTTCTTCTTAAGTGTAGATATTAACACTACAAAAACTTAATTTACATTTGAGTTTTTATGATCTTACATCTTCTTAATCGGTCACTCTTGGCAGAGTGGTCGTGGCTGTCGATGGACAGGATTGCGTCTCGTCGTCGCTGTTCGCTTCTAGGGCAGCCGCACGTCTTGCGATTTTCCTCCATTGGAGGCGGCTGTTAGCAATGCGAGCACATTGTACTACGGTGGCTTTCGTAGTACTGGTGATGAGGTCAATCCAGCGCGTGGGGGCTCGACCTCGAGGTCTTTTGCCTTCTATGACAAGTCTCTCCATAGAATCTTCATTTCTAGAGATGTGCCCATGCATGATCTTACATAAGTAAAATAGATTCCGGCGAAGCTGCGGACATTAAGACGTAGACTAATTATCAAACTAATCACAATAAATTGAATAAAGTAAGTAGTAGCAATTTCTAAAACATTAGACGCGACTGATTATTCGGCTTATGAAACAGTATTGACGAAAATATTAGAATAAGATTATTGCACTTAAGAAGAACGACAATCTACGGTGGTAGGGCCACGCAGCAGCCTCGGCTGTTGCACTAATGGGCAGGCCCGTCCGGGTAGGTACCACGACCTCACAGAAGACCAGCGTAAAGTGGAAGTATGACAAATACTTTCGGGTTTCGTCTGGTGAGTGAGGTAGCCGGAGCCCAATTTTCAAAAGGTTGTCAACGCATCTGTAACCCTCGGGTGTAGCAGATGTCCATGGGCACATGCTCGTTTGGCAACTTAAAAAAATCTTTAAAAGATTACATCTTCTTTCTGGCTTTAGTAAATATCTTTGGATCCAATGCATCTATCGGCTACGATTTGGGAAAGACCCGTGGGTGAGCGTGGGTTTTGAACCACCACAACACATCCTGATAGAGAGGCGATCTACCTCTATGATGCCGTTGCGTGAAAGCCAACATATTTATATGTTGAAATGAAATTAGTGCACGACGCTATGCGGTTGGGACATTTTAACAGTCCTCGACAAAGTTTTCTTACCTGTATACTAGTCACTTTAGTCCGAGAATGATTCTCCGACTATAGTGACTCACGACAAAACCTATTAACTTCAGCATGATTATGGTATTTTGTATATTTTCGTGTTGACCTCTATCTATAAAAAAAATGTTTGATTAAGTCCACGCTTACGAGCACCAGTAATTTAAAACGGAGTTTTTAATAATAATTCTTTATGTAAACACCAATGTTAAGACAATATTATTTCTCAAAGCGTATAATAAATTAAGATCAATAAATATGATAAATTAAGATTTGTTTTTAAATCAATGATTATTATAATTAAATACATGTATATCATTTGTTTCTTATTTCTTCGTCTTCGTTTTCATCTTATCTTGTTTGAATATAGTGTGATTTAAAAAAAAAATAAAAGCGATGACTTTAAAACTTCAAAAGTGGTTAGTAGTTATTCTATCCCGATATTATTTTCTCAATAACTACAGATTGCATAACGAATAAAATTATTGAGTTGCTTACATAGAAATGTATATTAATCTTAGTCATAAAATTTAGATTTAATGATCAAGAAAGTGATTTAAGTCTTACATGCTGTAATGAAAGCGAAAATTTTGTCGTGCCATAATACTGACATAATGTTTCAAATGCCAGAAGCTTTGGAAAGCTAAAATGTTATTTCACTATTAATTGAAGATTCGATCATTATTAAAAAAAACAAACATAACAATAACAATTCTAACATTTCTATATTTTATCTATGATTCGAACTGTGACGGAATTTATTAAATATACAACCGAAATAACAATATATTTATTTGAAATACTGTTTTATAACAATTTTTTATCATCCGTAAAGAATTCGAGTATACTTCGAGATCGTTTGAAAAGCCGTAAGTGTTTTAAAACGATTGGAGAAATTATTGATATTTCATTATTACTTATTGTACGTCGGTAACAACTACGTCCGCATAAGTAAATATGATTTAAATTGATGTTAAAGCGCTTTATCAATATCCATGCACCTCGTCCGCAAAAATTGTGATAGCTTCGCTAATATACTAAAACCTTCTCCGAAACACGCTGCTTATCTTATGGTATAAGTATTATTCCCATCGTTTCAGTAGTTTTCCCAGTATAACTGAAAAAAAAAAATACCAGGCTTCTGTTTATTAGAATAGATTTTTCATACACATTAGTCACACGGACTTTACGGAAGGCTCTGACCGAAAACGTCTGATACAATTCCCCGCGCGGCGCAAGTTCGTCCTCGGCGGGCGAGCGCGGCCGGATGGGCAAAGTAAAAGTAGACGGCAGAGCACCCGCTATAAAAGCGGCGGACGCCGCAACGAGTTATCATACAACCACCAACATTCACGGAGACCATACAACAACCATGGCCAAGTGGAGCATTGTAAGTGTTTATGGAGTGCAGTGATAGTGCTTTCTTGACGCGGTGTCCACGCTCAGGCGTGTGGGTCTTCGACTGCTTGGGCGCCCAGTGACCTCTCGCTCTCTAACTCCCCGGTGACTTCGTTTCGAGGATTGCAATCTCTCGGTGATGTGAATACGTTCGATCACCGATCCCGAGGATCTCAGCCTTCAAGCCTTTCAGAATGGCTTGTCTGCGTTTCGAACACATTGGATATTTTTTTGCCATTGCTGCCGTCGCTAATTTGACGTTGAACACTTCATTCTACGGGATCTATCACGTTAAAGTAGTAGCAGTATGAAACTGCATTTTCCGGAATTGACTTTTACAGTTTTAAGCCTTACTGTTTCTACTCTCTATAGCATAGGAGGTGGAAGGAAAATTTTCTTGAATTATAACCTTTTTCTTTCTTGCCAGGTCGCCCTTGCTTTGATCGGCTGCGCCGTCGCCGAGCCCCCAGTCGGGTACAGCTACTCTGCCCCGTCATCCCTCGTCTACGTTGGCAGTGGTCATGGATCTCCGCTCAGCAGCGGTGGCCACTACACCCAGGTCCCCGTCGGGCACCAGACCTCCGAGGGCTACCACATCGACCCTCATCTACTCGGAAAGATCAAGCACATCATCCTGAAGGACGAGATCCAGAACCAGGCCTACCAGTCCGCCTCCTCCGGCCTTAGCCACGGCATCTCGTCGCACTACGGTGCCCCGGCCCCAGTCTACGGCGTGCCCCACGAGAGGATCGTGGGAATCGAGCTAGACCACATCCAGCAGGGTATCCAGGTCGCGCAGTACCACCAGGCTGAAGAAGGCTACGCTGGCTACGCAGGTGGCTACGCGGGCGGTTACGCCGGTGGTTATTCCAGCGACAGTGGTTACTCCAGCGGCGGTCACGGCTACTCCAGCGGTGGCTCCATCTCTTACTCCGCTCCATCGGTCTCCTACAGCACCATCGGAGCCCCGTCTGGCTCTTACGGAGTGCCATCCCCATCTTCCTCCTACGGCGCGCCTCACTAAACGAACGAAACGCTATAGTCATCTCATTTCATTACATTGTAATGTCATGAAAGAAAAATCATGTGATCGCACCCTAGACGTTAACTTGTATTATATTTGTTGTTAATGTAAGTTTCTGTAAATAAAACTACTTTTTTGTAAAAAACGAAAATTCACAAAACATCGTATTATTCGAACACCCTGTCCCAATCTCAAAGTTTGACTCAAATCTTTATTGCAGAGAAATGGCCGACTCCGTTACAACAATGTTTCGTAATTGTTTTCGACTCGTTAAAGCCCAGGAATGTTGATAACGCAACCATCATAACACCATATAGGGAGGTGGAGGCATTAACTTGTATAACGGACAGCAAGGTCTTGGGGCCGGTAGAATTCGAGTCCGATATACAGTCGAAAGTAACCAAGATTAAGGTAGACATGTAAATAATATGGCTGACGTAACAGCGGGCGAGAGTGCAAAATTCGCTTTTGCCGCGACCGGTATCATTTCACTCTTACTCTCGACAAGCGACTACAAACTTAAAGCAATGTATTAAAATTCAACACAACACACACAAGCCTTTTCGGTTCTGTTCTTTTTCCCCCAAAAAAATATCGTGGGCACAAGATTAAACTGGCGTTTCAAATTATAATGGTACATTATTTTGTTTAGTCCAAACAGTTCTCGTCTCGAAGAGTTTCGCAAGGAGTTCGATGCTAAACAAGAGCAAGCGTTGGAAACGCGGTTTAGTGGCGGGGGATTGTGAGCGCACCTACGCATAGGTTGCGTCACTCCGTCCACTTTGGCGGAATTAGCGAATACGCCGTGCTCTGCCGTTAATCTTGCTGCAACGTGGACTTTCTCCCGTTCACAGCCGTTCCGAAACGCGATCCGTTGCGTAACCCATGAGGGACGGACGCCCGATATAGTCTTTTGTATTTCACCCAATTATTGCTATATCAATAAGCAATCTGATCGAGTGCAAATTACGAAAAGGTTCACGGCAGATATGGAGGTGTGCCTCTCGCGCGGTGACTCACGCCTGCCTCCTCAATCGGAATTAAATCATGGCCAAATTTCAACTTCTTTAAATAAAAATCCATACCTTGTTTGTCGGAATAACGATTTATAAGAACATTTCCGTCGGATGATATTTATTCGCATTTCTCTCAATACACACTCATACATGAACACTCTGAGTAACTGTTCGGGTTGATACCTGCTGGTGAATTTCATCATTTTACAACTTGTCAACCGACACCACCTTGATGGTTGGCGGTCCACCACTGTGCGTTTTTCACGCAATTTTCTGAATCCGGACTCATGTTGACGCATACCGTTCGATTTTTACCAATCATCAACTAATCAAAAGCGAAAAATGTTGACTGTCCAAACATTAGTATAACAAGAATAGCACATAATAATTATCTGTAAACATTCAAATCAAATAGTTGTACGCCTGCTTATTCATATACATATATTATCACGTTACACATCCTCAACAAATATTTCATATTACATAACCGATCAGCGGCGTTACGTATCGGGCGAGTCCAATAGTCTTTTCCAATGTTAGACTGACTCACGCGTTATGCAGTCCAGGCTTTAGTGCGTTATATAGGTACCACTGCTAGCCCTTTGTGACTCATTCGCACTTTCTACAAACGGCGTTAACCAAGGCACGTCATAGCTGTTAAAGAACCGTTAAGTATCAATCGTTAGGACTACAAATCAAATGAGCTTGACCATATATGAACTATCTTTAGGACATAATGATCGTATGAGTAGCCATGTCTATAAACCACTTGACTGAATTCTGAGATCCGGCTTTTTTAAATCTAACTGGGTAGACAGTTAACGCTTTTGCAAATGACATTTCTTCGAGCTTGTCTCGTCCCGAACGCAGTTTACCGGGCACACATGAGAGGCAGTGTAGATAATAGGACAGGTACAGTCAGTAGCGTTCTAAAGATAAAGCAACGTGGTATGATGGGGTACAGTCGGCAGCATTTAAAGATTAAGAGATACGCTGTCGCGGTGCAAGATCTGGTTTAAGACAAGCGCTTTGCCCACTTTTACTTAGTATCGCGCATCTATCGATCACGGCGATGACTTTGCCCGTTTAGATTGTAGTAACGCTGGTTTTGAGTATTACATATTGCAAGAGGCGATGGTGTATATACATACGTATACTTAATTACTGGACCGCCACTCGCCTTGAATATTTGGGTGCAACTCGTCCGTTGTTTCGTCAGCGATCGGAATAACACTCGATGTTTTCTGTCTGTGTGCCCGAAATGATATGTAATACGTGACTGTACTTTCTGTTTCATAATAAAATATTTTTCAATTTCTCTCGATTCACCTTGACGTACCATATCCCGAATACATTGAATATTTTATCAAAACTTTTATTCGTACTATAGGTACAGAATAACGTTGCAGAATTTGATCTCAAATATTGGTTTATATTTCATACTAATCAAGAAACCTGTCTTTAAAATAATATCCGATTGTAGTGCATTTAGAACAATTGCAAAGCAACAGTCTTTAGATAGCATATGTTCCTGTATATTGGTGGGTTCCTGTATAAAATGTCTACTTGGTTATTATGTTGTTATGTTGTTTACTGTCTACAACACAGGATAATCTTGCCTAATACAGTTTTGTAATTATAGTATATTCATAAGAAATCACTGATATCAGAATGTATATTAACATTAAAAATATATCTAACTAAAATAATTTCTTTATAAGACTGCAGGTGCTTTCTATTTTTGCTTGCCATTTTGAACATCTTTAGAAAAACTGTCTACCTCTTTATTGAGCTTCAATTCGTGAACTCTTTTATCTTTCCTCACTTTATTTTTATAGATATACCACGCTTTACGTACAGTAGATAGGGACAATGCCGCAACCATTATTTATGAGTCGCACAAATATTTATTTCGTGAAGGAATCAAAACCAGATCCCGCAATGCTGCAACCAAGTTTTATTAGTGGTAGGGACATGCCTCAGTCTTCACTTTTGCACGAATGGGCAGGTCCGTCCGGGTAGGTACCACGATCTAACAGAAGAATAATATTATACATTATTATAATGTGACAAAGCATCTACAACCCAACGGCTGTTGCAAATGTCAATGGTCGGCGATTATCACTCAACATAAGGTTGACCTCCAACTAGCTTACCATCTTCTCACATAAAACAAAACTTAGCTATTGGGTACATCTTGGCAACAATTATTTTTTTCTCTTTCGAAATTTACCAAGCCATTACCATTCTTATTCTTCTTCATTACCAATCTTTTGAAATTTACCAAGCATTATTAAAGTTCTGTCCTGGAGGGTTATTGTGGAATCAGTTGTCGCCAGAGTTGCCAATATTTGGACTACCATCGTAGAAGATAATGGTGCCAGTTTGCCACGGGATATTATCGCAGGTACGCGAGTGAAGCCAAAGTCGCAAGTCACCACAAAAAATATCATCAAAGAGAATAGAGTAGGGTGGCAGCCTATAATATCCCACTGCTGGATAAAGGTCTCCTTTGTATATTGTTTGTTTGTTAGGGTGTAGTCCACCAGACGGCCCCATATTTGATTGACGTACTTCATATATCTTCAAAATATTTTTTGTTATTATTTCGAAAATATGCAATTTCCTCACAATGTTCTTCACAACTGAGCACGTGATAAGTCAGCACTTTAACAGTTTCATAGATGCCCGCACCGGGGTTCGAACTCAGGGTGTCGAATACCTATATTGAATTAAAAGCGTGCTCCCCCACAATGAGCTATCACGGCTTATAAATATCATCAAAGCTATAATAATCATGGGTAAAAGGTTAGTGCCAGAGTAGTTGAGTATACCAAAAGGTTTGATGTCGACTTCTTGATTGAATAAGACTAAACTGATTTCTTCTAGTTGTTGTTTCTTCTAGTTGTTGTCTTCGAATTGTTATTTCTTTAATTATCTTTATCCGTTACTTTAATTAAGCGCATGATAAATGACATTTAAACACGTTTTTCCGTCACAAAGATTCAATCTAATCTATAGCTGAACCTGAGCCAAACTTATGAAACGCTGATACGTTAATATGTGTGGCGAATATTTATGCGCTTAAAGTATCGTGATCTGTAGTCAATCTGCTTTCTCCTCGCCGTCTCGGTGATTCCGAGCGTGCTATTGAATGCAAATTTTTAAGCGTAAAAAAAACCTGTGATGAATGAAGCCGGCACGCTGTGGGAATTAATACTGACGCTTGGATTTGCTTAAGTGATCAAATGTTGCAATACAAAAGTGTCCCGCATTTGCTGTTTTGTAGTGCAATACTTCTTCCTCGTTCGTCTTCTATGAGACTGTGGTACTTCTCCAGACGAGCCCGCCAATTTACGCAACATCAATAGCATCATAGCAGGCGTCTCCATAGTAAAAAAGTTGTTATAGGTTTGTTTGAAGTTATTGTGAGTAACGGTTAATGGTTTCATAAATTCTTGACGATGAGGTTCGAATCAAAAAGTGACATTTAAATATCATCTAGATAATTACTGTCCACATTCATCGTACCGAGTATAGTGACACAAGGTTCATTTATTATTTTAAAGTCATGTTCCAGTACGAAAAATTGAAGGTCATCCGCTCAAGCATGTTGAGTCATGAGGCATTGGAAACGGTTGACAAAATTTCCTTTTCCATATCTAGAAAGTCAGAGCATTCCCAATTCAATTATAATTCGCGAGAAAGAAACATAACAACTTAGAACAATACACGGAAGAGATGGATTCAAACCAACCACTAGATGAACAATGGAGCGATGAGATGTAAATGTATTCAGATCTAATAGATTCGTAACGAGCGGTTTTACGTAATGGAATCTGTTTTATAATCGGCGTAAACGTTATCTATGTAGTCTAGACTGCTTTGGCATTCCGATTTAATATATATTAATGATGACCGCCATAGTAAGACAGGTTGGGCAGATGTTAGTGTGTTGTATTTTTGTTTCCTTTGAATAGA